TATCTAGTCGTAGAGTCCACGTGTTTATCTACACAAGTAGGACATGGAAATAAGTTTGTGAAGTATCACATGCACCACATCTAGTCGTAGAGTCCACGTGTTTATCTACACAAGTAGGGCATGGAAATAAGTTTGTGAAGTACCACATGCACCACATCTAGTCGTAGAGTCATGTGTTTATCTACACAAGTAGGGCATGGAAATAAGTTTGTGAAGTATCACATGCGCCACATCTAGTCGTAGAGTCTACGTGTTTATCTACACAAGTAGGGCATGGAAATAAGTTTGTGAAGTACCACATGCACCACATCTAGTCGTAGAGTCATGTGTTTATCTACACAAGTAGGGCATGGAAATAAGTTTGTGGAGTATCACATGCACCACATCTAGTCGTAGAGTCATGTGTTTATCTACACAAGTAGGATGTGGAAATGAGTGTGTGAAGTACCACATGTACTGCAGCTACTGGTAGAGCCCACGTGTTTCATTACACAAGTAGGATGTGGAAATGAGTTTGTGAAGTAGCACATCTAGTCGTAGAGCCCATGTGTTTATCTACACAAGTAAGGCATGGAAATACGTTTGTAAAGTACCACATGTACTGCAACTAGTGGTAGAGCCCACGTGTTTCTCTACAGAAGTAGGATATGGAAATGAGATTGTGAAGTACCACATGCATCTCACCTATTGTAAAACCCACATGTTCCTTCACATAACTAGGACATGACCACGGGTTTGAGGCTATTTATTAGTTTATATTTAATGAGTCATAATTTAATGTTTTAGTAATTTACTCTCACATTATCATCAACTGAAAACTGAATATAAGCGCTTCTCGTCATGACGTAGAATACAAAAATAATAAGTTTACTGCAAATATTCTTACTAGCTTTCAAAAGAAGTTCCAGAATGAACAGAAAAATCACGCTCTAAAATATGTATTTTAAACTTTTTTTATCAAGTAATTTTTGGTTGTAAAAACCCAAGTTTACTAGATGTAATATTATTCACTTCAAACACAACCATACACTATTTGGAAGAGTGTGTTTCAAGTTCGTTGATACAAAGATATCATTTATGCAGACTGTCTTACACAGTTGTGTTCTGTGACCAAAAACCTCTTTACCTTCAAAGTTAATCACCCTTTTTTGCACGCAAGTCTCCTAAGAACCATCAGGACTATTGCATTTCGGTTGTGTAAGCAAGTCCATCAAAGCTGTCGAGTAAGATTATTTTAGTCTATTTTCATAATTCATGGGTAGTGACTACGTCAAAATAATTACAAAACTGACACGTGAAGAGAACACGCCTGCATGCTTATGTTTTAACTAATTTAATAGTGCAATAGCTAAACATTAATGCGTTTGCTTAGCCGAAAAGAGCGAGATTAGATGTTTTAGTGTTGAACTGTCAGGCAATACCTGTAATATTTAATATGTGTTTACTTTAGGCTAATCAACGGTCGCAAAAATCGCCATTTATTTTCTCAAGTCACGGGAGTGAAAAATATCATAATTCAAGTAATACAAAAGCTGAATGAAGATTAGATACGTAGTACGATAATTTCGTAATTTTGTGTGAATATCACAAATCATTTTAAAGTTAGGGAATAAAAAAATCGTATTTCTTTAACAAAACCACTTTTTGTTATTTTTACCAATTTTCTAAGATGTACCTATCCATTATCAACAATTTTCTAAGATGTATCTATCCATTTTCAACAATTTTCTAAGATGTACCTATCCATTTTCAACAATTTTCTAAGATGTACCTATCCATTTTCAACAATTTTCTGACATAAATGCGATTTATCCAGGTTCTTCTCTTCGTGTATGACACCCTCTAGTGGCTCAGTGGTAAGTCTGAAGGTTTATAATGCTAACAAATCAAGTTTCGATACCTTCGATGGGCAGCTTTATGCTTGACAACATACAAATACATTTAAGTATACGTTACGTCAACGTGTGTTGGGTTAAATTCAAGATGGTATATTTTTCTTTGTATATGTTAATATGCACGGTCCGGTTGGAAAACCTAATCCTTTACAAGATCGCAGGTTGATGTTAAATATGAAAACATGAATAAATGAAAGTGTTTCACGCAATCCAAAGGTGAAGAACCGACTATCAAACTCATGCAATAAGTAAAAAAAATTATTCGTTTAGATTTTAACTTGCTATAAGTGACAATAAAACACAACTATAACATAAACTTTTTATTGTGATGAAATACATAAAATACGTTTATTTTTACCTCACGGACCAATGACATAGTATACAAGAAGAATCTGCGCATTAAGTACTTTGACGATAGTGCGCCCTCTTGTGCGTCCTAAACGATCGATCTCGCGCTAGTTTTCATCGGACTTCGAGCGACGGAGAGAGAAGACGGAAGAACGGTGTGGAGATCAGAAGCATAGGAGTCGAATGGACGTTTACAATATAGTAGGCCTGAAATAACTGAGCAGTCGATCTAGTGACCAAAGACAGGTAATTTTACTGTATTAGAGTCATTGGCATGTATGGTATCATTGTCGTTTTCTGGAGATTTTATCATAAAGAAACTATATCATGTCGGTTGCTGTATTATTATCATTATTTTTGTTTTTCGGGTCAGGCATCTTATGTTACCTACTTGGAATTCTACAGAATTTAGGACTGTAAGTTATAATTTTATTTTTTATTTTTAGTTGTTAACCAGCTTACTTAACTGACTAAGACTTACGCTTAGCAGATAGTAAGCTAAGAATATTCTTTTATATATAACTGTCAACAAATAATAGTGAATCATAAGTCTCACATCCAGTAGTTTATAGGTTTTAAACATTCGAATGAAAATAAATAGTCCAAACGAAATATTACTTACACTAGAAAAGATCGCAATAGCGTCGAGGTGAAAACAAATTTAAACAAAATTGAGGATGTTTTCACAAACAAACGTTCTCTTTATACCATTTGTATCACCAGACAGGAGAACTATAAAATATTTGCAGGATGTTTTATCAAATGAAGTTTTAATAATATATTTACATGTATGTGTGTATGTTTATTATTTTTATTATACTTTATGACACGACATGGGCAGTTGATTAGGGCGTTTGCGGGTCATGGGTTTGAATCCCGTCATCAAACACTTTCGCTCTCTCAGCCGTTGGCCGTTATAATGTGATGGCTAATACCACTATTTGTTGGTAAAGAGTAGCCTCACAGTGGGCGGTGGTTGGTGTTGGCTAGTTGTCTTTCATCTTGTCTATCACTTTAGAATTAGAGACGGTCAGCGGATATAGCCTTTGAATAGCCTTTGTGCGAAATTCAAGAACAACAGAAAAACTACACCATAGATATAGCTTAGAAGATAACACTTCAAAACCTTTTGTTTTAAACAATATCATCACAAAGCTTCTAACATGCAAGGAAATGCAGAGACATTGGTATATATATATATATTCATGTCTTACATTAAACTCACTGTTTTTATTTACCAATATAAAGCACTATTATTTTAAAATTAAATTGCGCCAGATATGTTCTCCAACGCCTAAGATTTAATTGAATGATGTACAATTTCCTTACTACTGGCGGGAGGGAAAGAATCTGTAAATTGTTAAGCACAAACCAACCACTTAATATTGTCCATGAGTTGTCGCCTGGTGTTTGGAACTTATAATAATATATTTATTTAATTTCTTTATTTCAAGGTGAAAATCACGTATCCTTTCATTAAGCAGAATTCTATAACTAATACGCTAATATTTTTTTTATCTTGTATCAGTGCCACCTTAATGACCAAATATTTCTATATTTTTAAACCTTAGATCTTGAGCCAATAGTTTATGTCACTTAAAAATGCGTATCTTATTTTTATATAAACTTCAAACTAAAAGCTGATTGCTTTTAACTTTTGAATTTAGATTAGCATGCAATGATTGATTTTATTACTGAATCCAAAGTATCAAACAGTGATGGTCTTATTTGTTAAACTCAGATCATCAAACAATGGTTGGTTTTACTGTTAAACTTAGATATCAAACAGTGATCAGTTTTACTGCTAAATTTAGATCATCAAATAGTGATCAGTTTTACCGTTAAACTCAGATCATCAAACAGTGGTTTGTTTTACTGTTAATCTTAGATCATCAAACTGTGATCAGTTTTACTGATAAACTCAGACTATCCAGCAGTGGTTGGTTTTGCTATGAAACATCGATTGATTGTACTATTGAACTCAGATTATAAAATATCAATTGATTTTACTTTTGAACACAGATTATAAAATATCAATTGATTTTATTATTGAACTCAGATTATAAAATATCAATTGATTTTATTATTGAACTCAGATTATAAAATATCAGTTGATTTTACTATTGAACTCAGATTATAAAATATCAATTGATTTTACTATTGAACTCAGATTATAAAATATCAGTTGATTTTATTATTGAACTCAGATTATAAAATATCAGTTGATTTTATTATTGAACACAGATTATAAAATATCAGTTGATTTTACTATTGAACTCAGATTATAAAATATCAATTGATTTTACTATTGAACTCAGATTATAAAATATTAGTTGATTTTACTATTGAATTCAGATTATAAAATATCTATTGATTTTACTATTGAACACAGATTATAAAATATTAGTTGATTTCATTATTGAACTTAGATTATAAAATATCAGTTGATTTTACTATTGAACTCAGATTGTAAAATATCAATTGATTGTACTATTGAACTCAGATTGTAAAATATCAATTGATTGTACTATTGAACTTAGATTATAAAATATCAATTG